AGGGAATTAACAAGGGGAATAAATCATGACACATTAAGTAGTCCTTAGCCAAAATAATCCAAGCTGTCTCTTTCCATTTTCAACTTCTCCAAGACTATTTAAGTGCCAACACGGTAACACCTTCTGAGAACATCAAATACCAACCCATCTTAACTGCAGGGCACTCACTGATGCCCCAGACATTAGGAAATACAAGCCTATACTAGGTTCTGGAACATTTTACTGGTGAATATTAGTTACCTTTAAAAAAAAAAAAAAGTCCACATCCCCAAGTAATTTGGCTCTAGACAGGAATCACTCAGATGCTAGAGGGATAATTCTCTGCTACTGATTTCAACCAGAGATGTTGGTTTCATCAAATTCTGATAGGAAAGGCACAGGCTATGTAGCACCTGCTAACCAACAATTGCATTGCACCAAGCACTCCAGTTCTTGTCATGATCAGAAAAAGCATGAAATCCAGCCTTCCCAAAATAGTAAATAAATGTTTTCATTATGACAGGAGATTGGAATTCATTTTCACAGCTTCTTGGTGGATGGGGGGCAGAATGCTTTCATTGGTGGAAAGAAATTAAAATTCATAACCGCATACATAACCTAGCAATTTCAATTAAAACTTGGAAAGTACCTTTCCTATATTGCAAAACAATTGCTAACATTCACCAGTAACTTCTAGAAAACAGAGTAAAACTCTTTCATGTTGTCAACAAAAAAAAATTACATCAAGCTTCCTATGTAGTGATTCTTCCAGGTCTGTAAAGATTTTTGTCAAACTGGACTTGGTTAATCAATGGCTAATCTGAATCTTTGTTCAGCACATTTCCCCTAGGTGCTTGTCTTTATATTAGAAATTCAAGGAATTTGGTTACTTAAGCTACCAGCTTTTTCCACAAAGTATATTAAAATGTATGTTCTTTTTCTCAAAGTACTGTCTACTTACTATCCCAGTGAGTCCGCAAAGTGTCCGCAGAAGATATGGTTATCGAGCCAACAACATAGCACTTGGATGTTCAGTTCCCTAAGTTCTCCACCACAAAAAAAATACACTATACATCAGAACACCAGTGATTTACAGCCAAAATGTCAGAAATCATACAATGGTTGGGAATTAATTATGTAAGCTCCTTTACATTCTTCAATCTGTATTTAAGTCAGTAGTGTTTAACCAGAGCTTTCACCTTCCCTTCCTCAGATGGGTGGAATGGAGGCTGTCATCACCGGCTTGGCAGATGATTTCCAAATTCTGAAGCAGCATAGAAAGCTCTTCACCTTTGGTGTTTCTTTTGGCACTTTCCTACTTGCCCTTTTATGCATCACCAATGTAAGTGCAACTAAAGTTTCTGTCAACAAGCTACCTTAAAAATGCAGTTAACCTAATCAAATAGAAATATGAATAGGCTCAGGTGATTATTTCTGTTATAAATTTTAATTCTTAAGGTGGTTTCCAGATCTAGTACTAAGGTTATTGAAACGGCATAAGTTTATAAATAGCAGAGCTCTTTTTACACTAAAAGAATACCCCAATATTTTTACTCTAGTTTCCTCAAACTGGAAAACATTTGAGACACTAAAAATAGATATCTCATTTAAACTACCTATCCTTTTAATACCATGCTATCTCCATTGTTACTTAAAGAATTAAACATGCTCCTTCCTTATTCAAAGTTTCAACTGGAATAGAATTTCCTGAAGTACAAGATCAGAAGAAACTTGGTGGTTAAGAACATGAACAGGTGCCAATGGGTGCAATTCCACTGCCTTCAAGTGAGCTAAAGCAGTTCAAGCTAACAACCTAGCTCTAGCTTTTAAACAATGGCACTTGCTTAGACACAAATTCACCCCAGCAGCTGGAATCCACAAAACTGCCCAGACTTGTCCAAATGTATTGGTTCACATAACTGAAAAAAGTTTGTGATGTGTACAAAATACAAAGAAAAACCCTTGTGATACCATCACATTAAATTAAACTGTTTGATTTTGTCCTCTGAAATTTTAAGGCTGTGTTTTCAAAATATTTTTCTTACAAAACCGTATTTGTCATTCACTTTACTAAGTTTGATAGCAAAGGCATTCATTTAGAGCAGGTGTAGAGCAAAAACAAGAGGTCAAACTCAAATGTCATTCCATGAGCAACATTTTCTTTCTAACACAACAACCAAAGTTCATTCAGTTTCCGGACAAGTCCCCACAGAATTAAAAACCTAGACAAGGCGTAAGTACTGTTCTCTCTCTTTTTGTAAATATGCACAGCTGTTTCAGAAAACCATCTTTTTATAAGAAAAAAGAAAACCAATTTATTGCAGAGATTAAAATCACCTAGAGATCTAAATAGTACAAGTGCTATTTATACCATTGGTAAAAACATGGAAAATAATTCCTTTGTTCCTTCTCTTCTGAACAGGCATAGTCAGATTAAATTTGGTTGTAAAATAAGATTGTAACAATAATCTGCTGCAACTGCAAAAATTTCAGTTCTTTACATATGACAAAGAATGTCCTGAACTACTTTATTCAGGTTTATTTTGAAACAAGTAAACATACAATGGTCTTCCATTCCTCATTAGCCCAAACTAAATAAAATGAGCAGTAATTTACACAAATTCATACCACATTGTAAATTGAGGAAAAAAGTAGTCAAATTGCAGCTAAAAAAAAAAGTGAAACAAGACTTTTGTAAATGCATTTATATTTCCCAGTCATGGAACCACTGAAGAACAAGAATGTACTGTTGTGAGGGGAGATGATCTGGCTTGCTCTCTCCAGTGAGCAAAGGCCTGCTAACACCACAGCAAAGAAACCAAAGAGGGCAAACCTGCTTCCATGCTGGGCTGGTAACAAAGACTTAAAACACAACTGCTCCCTTTGCAGGAACATTGTAAAGGAGAGATGCAAGCACTCTGGGCAAAGACGACATCAGTCTAAGACTGCAGATTCACTGGCTACAGAATATTTTGCCTCAGAAACAAACTGAGTGATAGCAGCTTATGGAAACTCTTGTAGCCCTCCATTCCTGCCAACAATTTAGGAAGATCTTCATTAGCTGCTGTAGATAGGCCCTGTCCGACAAGCTGCTGAGCATTCCCCCAGCAGCCAGTGCCTTCAGCTTCCACTGAAAACACCAAGTGCCAAGAGTACTCATTAATCACGCTCAGCTGAGGCTTCTGTCACCCAGTTCTGTGAGGACACAGGTGAAAGAAAGCCTCTTGAAAAGAGTTACAAGTCTGATTCCACTATTTTGTATATGGACCAGTGTCTGGAGCATCAGCTCCGTATTAAAATCCTCAGGTTAAGATAATGTTTCAAGTAAAGCAGATTTCTGTTAACTAGATTCTAAACTACCGAGGTGATTCTCTTTGTAACTTCCTTTTGTTGCATCTTTTTACTCCCCAATGCTAGGGTGGAATTTATGTACTCACGCTTCTGGACACGTTTGCAGCTGGGACTTCAATACTGTTTGCTGTTCTAATGGAGGCCATTGGAGTTTCCTGGTTTTATGGTAAGCGCTCATTCTGCACCTGCAAAATCTCTTCTAAAATTCCAAGTGCTCGTGGCGGCTTTCACACTGTTTCAAGGGGAAATTGCGTAGTCTTTTACACACAAAACCATGACAAGCCAGGTTTCATACAGTGATATTCATGTGATTTACGAATAGTGACAGGAATGTGGACATTCAGTAGGCCAAGCTTTGAAACCCTGCACAAAGCCAAAGAAAACTGCCTTGTGGAGGAGACTGCCATGGGATGGAAATGTTGCTACTTTTGCCAGTATTTTGCAGCTGTTAACACAGCTGGTGACTCGCAGTAGCTGGTTTATACCTGGTAGTTTCACAGCAAGTAGACTAGCCTGAATACAGAATCCCCTGTTCATCCTTTCCATGACTTCCCCAGGGCCAATCTCAAGATCCACCCATCCAATACAAATAAAGGCTGTTTGTCTTTAGAGAGTTATAATAATTCCTACATTAGTCGCTTTTGAGATAATATTCTACTTAATTGTGGTTAAACTAGTGGTTTAAAATTTATATTATTTCATAGCATGGTACAGAGTACCCAACATCCTAGATACCAGAAATAATACTATTTCTAGTATTTCATACTAATTTATGCCACAAAAAGGGGCCAGTAATTTGCTTTACCCCCAATATAGCAGGCTTTAGGAGTATTCAGTTGGTCTCTGCCACTAGGCTGGAATTACCGTGTGCTAACCACAGTGCAGTGATGTGCTACAGCACACTGAAAAAAGTATGGCTCACAATTTAAGTCAGGTCTCAGAAAATTTGCCCAGCTTATTAAATAACTTCCCTGGCCTTATTTGGTCTAATATTTTTCTCCTCCCCAAAGTAATATAAATAAAAAGCAAGACACTTGATACACAAGTTTCATAAGAAAGAAGAAAAACATTTTTTCTTTCCCACTGTATAAATGACCACAGTGATGGCAAACAGCCACATTTGCTGCCCTGAACCCATATGAATGCACTTGGATAACCTCAACTGTGAAAAACTGAAGTTGTGCTTTCTGACACAACACTGACTTTGACAACACAGCAGGACAGAGTCTTCCAGAACTCCGTCCTTTGCTTCCAGGAACTCCACAGTCTTGTGAAGTGCCCTTCATGCGGAAAGCTGTTCAATCTACTTAAGAAATAGTCTTCAGCTTTAATGTACCAATTCTGTCACCCAACATCAGCATGGAGCTAGCAGCTCATATGCTGCTGTCTCTCAAAATAGTGGAGGCAGTAGATTTCACAGACAACTGTCTTTAATTCCTGTAAATGAGCTGAATGCAGAAGAGTGATCACAGATTAGCTTAGAAGCACAGGCATAAAAATATTCTTCAGTTAGTAAGGGCAAGTTATTATCTGCTGCTATTAAAACAGGATTTACTGCACTTTACAATAGCTAGTCTTTGTATGTGGTTCACAGACTAAGCCAGGGTTAGTAAAATTTTATTCGTTGCACCTTCTGTCCTTCATCATCCTCTCCTTTCTCCCTCCTGCCTCCCCATAACCAAGAAAATATCTAATCATTTGTCTTAAGCAGCTGAGAGATGTTTTTACTGACACAGCATGACCTGTTGCTTTATAAAGAACTTATTACAGCCCCAGGAGCTATTTAAACTGATTAAATCTGGCATGGTCTTGTCTACTTCTTTTTTATGATAGACCCCAGTTGCCTTAATGACCCAGCCAAATATTAAGCCTGCCTGAAGGCAAACAGTGACATTTTGGCACAGACTAAAAAGGTAGAAATTTAGTTCAAATTATACCTATGACCAGTTACTGTGAAGTTTCTTCTTGCAAAGGCCACCTGGATAAGAGAAGGGAGAGCTAGTTTGTTTTACTGTACAGATGTATTTTAGTTATGACTGCTAGCTTGTTACCATTTTTCCTCTTATGTAACCCTGATATCATCCCTCTGATGAATATTCTAAGAAAAGCCAGACACCTCACTCACTGACACAAGACTGCTCTTTGGTTTTACTTGCAGGAAGATCTCTACTCAGATTTTAATGTGAATATGTCCCTGAACTATTAGAATAAGCTCAGTATGAGCTAGCAATGAGCTTCATCCTCACCTGTAATCTTATTGCTTTCATTTACTTAAATAATTTCAAAAAAAGGTCCTTTAGACTGAAATTACAGACTAAAAGGTGCCTTTATTTGAAGAAAAAAAAAAATCTAAGGCCAACTGTTTGATTTTGCAAAAGGGAAAGAAATTAACCAAGTACTGAATGCTGGTAGTCACCTTTGCTCACAGATGCTTATGTATGGATGTGTGCCTGGCATGAGGGACAAACCATGAATGCACATGTTTCCACAGAATGGAAATACAAATGCGGCAAACCCACTTGGAGAGCTTACTGCACTGCCATCGTGCGGAAATGTTTCCTACCATTCTGCCTGCTTTTACACTAAGCACAGCTGCCCTTCCTCGGGAATGGCACTGGTATAGCTTACTCCACTATTGCCACCAGATCTGGGTCACCACCAACAAATAACAGTATTGCTCCAGAGTTAGAAAGGAGACTCAAGAACAAAAAGGAACGGTTCTTATTACTTCACTACGGGGCTAATCAACAGATACCTTATTCTGTGCTTTGTAGGATTTGCAAATGAACACCACAAAATGGCTTTTATATTCTTTTTATCTCTTCTTTCTCATGTTCCCAATGCCAACGATCCCTGAACTGCATGAAAAAACAATGTATTTCCTCATCTTCTGGACGGGGGCCGGTATAACTGGGGTTCTGCGTTTGATAGATACATTCTTGTTAGGACAAAAGCAGGGTGCAGATGTCACCTTTATGTGCAGAAGAGCAACTCAAATATAGTGAATTGAGTGCTTCTGCATCAGAGCAGAGACCTGCAAGGGTGGGGAATGTTACAAAGCAGCTCATCGGGGTCAGGAAGTGGAAAATGCCTTCTTTAGGCAACTTAAAGAAGTGTCCAGACCAGACCCTGGTTCTTACAGATGAAGGTATCAGGAGTAACTTTAGCACAGATGCTGGGTGGGCAAGCCAGAATGAGTCTTCTGGATGTGCTACTTGCACTCAGAGATGAGCTGCTTAGGATGCGGGCAGCAGGCCTAACGAGCCAGAAGAGTGAACTGCCAGCATAGGAAGGCCGATACCATCCTGAGCTGTAACAGAAGCATAACAAGAGATTAAGGGCAGTGATTACTCTTCTTTACTTGGTACTTGTTGGATTGCAGCTGAAATACTGTGCCCTGGTTTTAACCCTCAATAAAAGAAGGTGGTGTTAAACTGGAGAGAGTTCAGTGGTGGGCCACCAAGACATTCAGGAGCTGGAGCTCACGCCCTGTGAAGACACTCTTAGAGAACTGAGCTTATTTAGCCTGGAAGAGGCTTAGGGAGGATCTGACAGTGGCCTTCCTACACCCATAAGGAAGTTATCAAGAAAGAGTCAGGGGTCTCACTGAGATGCAAAATGGGAAAACAGAAGACCATGATCAAGTTGAGAGGATGAAAATATTTTTTCTATATAAGGATAATTACACATTGGAACAGTTTGCCCCAAAAGTGCTTGCTGACTCTGTTCTTGGGGTTTTTCAAGACCCAACCAGACAAAGCTGTTCTGAATTGTGCTGACCTTGATCTGAGCAAGAGGCTGAACTAAGGACCTCCAAAGAACTCCTCCAACAGGAATAATTTGATGGTTCTATGATTTACTGTAATTCAAAGGCCAAAATATAGGATGGATCAATGAAGCAGTTTCACTACAACTCTTCATGTGCATATAAACTGTGTGAGCTCATACACTGTTACACACATCCACACAAGCAAAACTCAATATGGGAGAAAAAACAGTGAAGTAACATTCACAGGGAAAGGGAATTAAGTGCAAAATAACTTCAAAATTGATTCAATATGCTTTTCTCATTCCTATATTGTTTCAGTGTAGTTATTTTGATTTATTGGATTCATTTAATTCACAAGTATGGCATTAAAGGCATTATTACTAGTTTTTATTTTCCAAATAAAAAAAAAAAGTCTAAGCATATAAAGGAATACTATAGAGCACAGAGCTGAACAAGACAGGAGGGGACTACAACTCATACAAAGATTGCTTGTAGGGATCCAAATGACTGTTGAAGCTATGACACTACTTTTTGGAAACACGCTCACAAATTATTTCAGCTATGGCCACTGAGCAGTTTCACCTCAGGGCCAGGACCTGCTCAAGGGCTTCTGTGCAATTGAGTGATTCTGGAGCCACTGGCTGAGCCTACACAGCAAAATGACTTACAAAGGTCTAGCAGGCGGCGGGTGCAGGAGGTACCGCTAACATATAAGCTTTCATTCTTTCTGAACTCTGATCGCTGCATCACTGAGATGAAAGAAGGTTGTGCCAATGTGAGAAGGGTAACTTGCATTTATATCCAAATCTACTTTTCACTTTCTTCCTAATCTGTTCTTTTCTGCATATTGATTTAATTCCCTTGACAACTTATGTACGTAGAGAACAGACCAAATGTTCTGTGCCATTTAATAGACCACTACAGTGGAGACATTCTCAGGCAGCTGCAGTGTTTATTAGTTCAGAAATTACACTGAAATTCTCTTTGGATTCAGTGTATTTAAGCAGAACCTGATCATAAATTGTAAGCATCTCTTGTTTTTCACTGAAAAAGTGAGGAGATTATTTCCATATTCAACACCAGGTCTCCAGCAAGTAATGTGGAGTTTTGTTTGCAGTACACCAGTTCCTGTAACTAAACAAGGCACCCACAGTTTCAGTTTATCACAAAAAAATTGGGTAAACACTTTCAAGAACTGGAAAAAAACAAGCCCTACAAGAACTGTCATCTGTAGCTATAGCTATGTTCTACTTCGCAGGTTGATTCTTAGAATGGTTATTTGAAGACATACAGGATTGAAAAAACATGCTGCTGAAAAAGCAGTTTGAGAGCATGGCCTACTTCTCTCCCATTTTCAGTAGAAATTGAGCACAAAGCACTATCTGAGCTATGGGTATGTCTGTCTGGAAACCTATGAATAAAATTTTGGAGATATTTAGTCCTTGTCTTTGACCTTCTGCACAATGATAAATTTCACCCAGTATTCACAGCAGTTGAAATTCAGTTGCTTTAAAGTTCACAGAAGGCACTGCAAATAGAATTAGATTAAATTTAAAGAGTATTTGCAGATCCTTTTGGCTACATTGCTTCACCTGTACGTAATATTGGTGGGGGAGGGGGGGTGTGGAAAGAAGAGAAGTTTACACATCAAATGTCCAGACCTTGTAAATATGTTATATCCTGCCTGCATGTAAAGGACTATACTCAAGTTGTCCTAATTATTGACATTAAATACATTAAATAAACCCTACTGAACTGATCCACACAAAGAGAAACAATTATTATGGTAAACTATACATCCTCTCTAACAAATATTCATGGCAAAAAGCTGCATTTCTGCTGTTTACCTAATAGGGTTCAGGATTAAGAGTAAACTTCCTGAACACATCAAGTACAGTAAATTACAAACTGGTAGTCTGACATGACAGACTGCACTAGAGAGAACTACTTGTCTGGGCGCCAGGGCCTCTAAGGTGTAAAGTCAGAGATTGTTTTCTTTTCAAAGAAAACTGAGAAAACACTTTTTTTCCCATTTTTATATCAGTGATAATCATTCCATTCTAAAACATAGTGTGGAAAACCGCATGCACTTAGACTAAGCTTTTGCAAGAAACCCCATACTGGTAAATCCAACCAGAACAGAATCAATTAAAAAAGAAAAAAAAAAAAAAAGAAAAAAAAAGAAAAAAAAAGGGAAGAAGCTATTATTCAAGTAGATGTTTTACAGTCCCCATAAAATGCATGGTTGCTTTACACAGTAAATTATAGTAAATTACTTTATGCAAAAAAGTGTTCCCATAAATACCGAAGATAGAAAATATCCCACTGAAGACTACATTTTCCAGAAAGTCCAAAGCATGCGAGTTAACATGAATTAATATTATTAGAGTTAAAACAAACAAACACACACCACAACAAAAAAAAACATTTCTCACATACAGACAGCTTGATACCATTGCAGACTACTCAAAATGTTTATCCAGATCAGGCTAGTGCCACTCACAGAAAGCACCTTATACTTCTGCAGTGCTTCCTACAAATCCCATAAGGAATTAAAATGCACTGACTGAAATGCCATTTCTTCCTTATTCACTACTACAGAATTTGGTATGTCCTGAGGAACTCAGGACAGCAGATTTTTTTGTTTTCACATTGGCCTGCACAGCATGACCTATTCTGATTTTGAAGTCCCTACCTATATAGTGTTTCTGAAGAGGAGTCAACAAGGTCAGCCCACCTTCCTTTCTGCATTGGCTGTGGGAAGAGCTTTCTGCTGCAACTATTTACACTATGTTTATAGCTATTAATACTTCAACTGACATTAAGTAATAAATACACACACGTATCAACACACATACAAAATCTCAGACTAGATGGATTCAAGGAATATTACAGACTGAGACCTGGGTATCTGCAGCTCTTCTCTCCTCTGGCCATTATGTCACTTGTTAAACACTTTGTTCTGGTGCTTCCGTTTCTCTGCACTGCAGTGAACCCCACTGCTGGTAGCTAACATTTGAGTGATTTTGAATGGAGTACTGTTATATAGTTTTTCTGAGAAGAGAAATCTTGTACATTACTTCTTACATGCTAATATCCACAGTCTTATACTCAAATATTGTAAGGGTCTGGGTTCTCCTTCAGCGTACTCATAATAGTATTGAGTAATTGCGCTACAATAGTCCACAACTATTTTAAAAAGTGTGTCCCATTCACATCTAAATCCTAGATATTTGTGAAATGCAACTTTTCAATGGTAGTCTTCTATTTGCAACAGACCTTAAGTGCTCACGGGCATTTAAGTACTAGATACGGTAATGTCAAAGACACATCCAGTCATTGAGAGAAGATCAATATTGTTATATGTCTTATGATTTGGAAGTCATTATTTTCTGCTTTCTGACAAAGCAGGTGGTTTTGGGTATGCCAGCATCTCATCTGTTTAGATTTATGCCAGTCTAATGTTCACGTCTCTTCTAGGTGTGGACAGATTCAGTGAAGATATCCAACAAATGATGGGCTTCAAGCCAGGCCTCTACTGGAGATTGTGCTGGAAATTCGTTAGCCCTGCTTTTTTATTGGTAAGTGTTGATAATTATTTCATTATGGAAAAATGGAAAAAATGATAGTATGTTGCTTCCTAGAACATACAATAGGTACCAAGAGCAAGATACTCATTGCTATGCCTGATGTTGTTAGGATGAACAGAAGACACTTCAATTTAATTCTTTTTTCTCCTCAGTGGCATTGGTTATATTTTGTATAATACATTACAGTTGTGAAAGAGAAGCTAATTGTGGCTGTGGCCTCAGCAGGATTTAAAGAAAGCATCTTTTCTTAGGGAACACTGAACACCTAGGCATCTATGCATATTAAACATAAATCATTCTGTTGGGGAAAATAAACTAAGCAGGGATAAGAGATTGTGTTAGCAAGAATTTATTTTTCATCGTAGGATACCAAGATCCCTAAATTGTGGAATGACACCTTACAAAAACTAATATGCAACTATAGCCAGTTATTAGCTATGTGAAACACAGAAGAGATTATTAAATATACCTTGTAAGCTGCCTGATGTGATAAACAAGTGCTTCATTACATTTGGGGAGAAAAATCCCAGAGTGTGAATTTGTTTGCTTTGTGTAAAGGTTATATTCAGAACTAAACTGCAGTTTTATATTGGGATCTTTTCCTATGCATATTTGTACATCAAAAGGTCAGGATGAATAATATGGAAGTTTGACCTCGCTATGATTTCAGGAGACTAATTGCATTGAAGCTGTGCATTCTTAAAGCAGAACTGGTATTCCAAAGATACAAAGGGTAGGCTTTTATGACAGCCTTCAGGTCTACTTTTTTCTTTTATAGAAAAGCTTCTGGCCCCATTCCATCACTAAGCACCTATCAAGCTTGTATTAATTATCCTTTTAAACACTATTCTATAGAGAAGCTTGTATGGAACTATATCTTGCAGCACTGCAAACAGGCTGACTCAAGTAGAATGGCAAAATGCTGCACCGAGCATCCTTGGGTTTTATACACTAGGAGACTTGAAAATTTAAATTTTACAAAGAGCAGAGTTCTAGCAAGCTAGCTGGAGAAAGCTGAAGTGATTGTCAGTCTAACCTCCAGGCGGCTTAAGATTTCTTGATGAAATGGCCCCAATACCTTCTACCAAAGCCTATAGACATCAGGGACAGAATGAATCTGTACGTAATGGATCTTTCAGCTATCACAATGCACAAGTTTTTTTTCCAGCTGGTAGTGCTAAACTTGGAACATATCAACTTAATTATTGGGTACCAATATATTTTAAAACCCATGGGAATGATATCACACTGGGTAGGGGACATTGGGCAGTTTTGTTACAGCTATACATTTTCTCAGTTTTCTAAAAGGTAAATAGACATTACAATCTTGATTTATAGTGGAAAAGTAAATGTAATTTACCTTCTTACAGCCTATCCTTTGGGTTAATTATTCAATACATTAACAAAATAAAGCATATTACATGAAATTGACCAAAATGTTTTAACTTACTAATTTATAATTGAAAGCTACAGAGATGGTCACTCGGATGAAAAAAAGGTAGTCCACCATTAGCCTACGTAATTTAAAACTACAAATTCTAGAAATCTGGTCACTTGATCTAAGAAACAGCATTTTTATACCACCTGCATCAAGCATACAAACTGCCTCACCAGAAGAGACTGAGACCATAAGCACAGTAAATACAAATAAAAATATCAGATATAGTTTATTTAATATACAAGAATTATTGCAAGACAAAGGTAAATTGGGGTTGGTCAGGTACCTGGTATTAGGAAATAACTCCTTGAAGCTTTTTCTCCATACTGTCTGAAGCTATGTACACCATCCCAAGAAAAATCTCAAAATGGAACTAGTACTTTTCTAACTGGTTTTCACAGTATTGGCTTCCTTTAACGCACACCATTACTCTCCTTTTATAGCCTTTGAAACCCTAGGCTCAAAATAATTTTAAATTCCCATACAGAGTAGAATGTATAGCCTCAGAGAACCAAATCAAGGAACCCTGCATGTTATACAACCCCTATGGATTTAACAGGAGGAAAATAGTGTGGTGTA